TTAATGCTTGTCGACACTCGGGGGAATGAGACAGGCTGGTTTTTAGACGTTGATCAAGTCTCTGAGGTCCTCGGTGTCCCACATGAAGTGGTGCTGAGGCACTACGATGCTGAGTGACGGGGCCCGACGCTTGTGTCCACTGAGGAGGAGCCTAGCACGGCATTGGCTCCTGCCTCGACCTTATCAGTTTCTTTGGGCTCGGCGCCTGTCTCTCCCGACAATGGAGGAGGGATCGGAGAAATGGGGTCCGGCCTTTTTCCAGTCGTGCACCGCCAAGGTTCGTCGGTGTCCGATGTTCCTAGCTCCTACCGAGGTGTGGCACAACGTAAACCAGTTCGAGTTGCACAACAAATTAGGTGCATGACATGGAATTTGCATGGTAAAGGCATTAAACATGTGTCTTCTATGCTTGAGGGACTGGAGACGCCCCCTGAAATTCTCTTCTTTCAAGAAGTGGGGGATGTCCGTGACTTGGCTGAGGGCACTCACTTTCACGATCTTTTCATGATTGCAGGTCAGGAATTTGTGGGATATGTGGCGAATCCCCGCCACAGCTGGCGAAGTAGTGTGATTCTTTTTGCATGTGCATTGGAATTTAAACTTTTGCAGGTGCATGTGCTTGACATTGGCTTGTACGTTGCTGGATGCATGATGCATGATACATGGCACTGCATGACTTTGCATTTCCCGCATGCTCATCGCCCTGATGCGGTAGAGGTCTGGCGAAATTCGTGTGCTGCTGTGCAAGATATCCTAGGGTCAGTTTCTTCTGAACACAAAATTCTTGTAGGACACGACCTGAACCAAGACGCACATGCGTCTATTGACATGTTTTCTGGCATGCTTCACTATAGGCAGCTCCTGGCGAGGACGTCCCTCGAAATCTCTCCCCCTCAAGGGGATACTTGGATTGCCCGTGGTGCGTCTTCTGCCATAGATTTTCTGCTCCTCCGGTTGAAGCATGTGGAGGTGTCCTACTGGAAGCGTGACGACTATCGTGTCGCACTTCCGTCGGATCACAACGCCATAGGACTCACTTTGTGCCTCAAGACTGCTGCAGTTCGTCAACCCAGGAAGCAGAGGTCAACGTTGTGTGGTAAATGGTGCTTCGCTGCTGATCTCTTCCTGCAGGCGCTTGAACAGGAACCGCAGTGGGATCAGGACGCCCTCGCGTCGGCAGCAAGAACTAAGGGAGTCAGTACTCGCCTGCCTTCACTGCGGTATAGAGACCCTCCGGAAATCAAGAGCCTCATTACGACGAGGAAGGCCTCACAAGATGCTGACCTGCGTGCTGCATATATGCAGGAAATTCATCAGCTCCGGCAGGCTGCACAACAACGCCATAAAGAAGAGCTGGAGAGAGCTAAAGGGGGCGACCATCGTGTTATCACTCACCTGCGTGCTAGTGCCGCAGGGGCTTTTACTGAGGGCTCTTATATTCATCGTGCTGGTGGGCACACACAAGCCCTTGCCGAACTGTATCGTTTCTACGAGTAAGTTTTTCTCCGATGAATTGCCTTTGACCCAGGTACACTTTGATGCTGCCCGAGCTAGGCACTGTGTAGGAGCTTGTCCTGAGCCTATCACGTTAGAGGAAATGCAAGAAGCACTGGCCAAGTGCAACTCAGGCGTCAGCGCTGGCCTTGACGGGATCACTTATGAGGGTCTTAAAGGTCTCTTGAAGCTGGACTCCAAACAGCGTTTGGTCCAGTACTTTAACTCATTGCTGACAGGGGACAGACCAATCCCCCCCTCATGGAAGGTGGGGAAGATCGTCTTCCTCCCCAAAGTTCCTCGACCCAGTAAACCCGCTGACCTGCGACCTATCTGTCTGGTGCCTACTCTGGGTCGTCTTTACTCCAAAATCTTGATGCAGCGCATCAGGGTGGCGGCGCCACCGTACAAAGCCAATCAGATGGCTTGTCGCGCCTCTGTGCAGGTTGTAGATGGGATCCTCGCTGCCCAGAGTACCATGTCGTTGCTGAGGCACATCACTGGCTCCCCCGCTAAGGTCGCCAAGCTCGATTTGCTGGCTGCTTTTGACAGCCTGTCTCATCATGCTATCTACCGATGGCTTATGGCGTGTCAGCCATGCTGGGAAGCTGAACAACTCATGCATCTCTGTTTCGGTACCCAGGTCCAAGTAGGACTCGCGGGAGAAAGTCGCATCCTTGAAATGAAACAAGGGATCATGCAGGGGTCTGCCTTTAGTGCAGATGTGTTCTCACGAGTGGTCGATTGGTTCCTTGGTGATCTGCTACCGGCTATGTCGGAAGTCGAGCCTGCGTGGGAAGAGCACGTGGCGAATCTGCCACATTTCCTGGTCTATGCCGACGATATTACGGTCTTCGCGACTACAGAGGTAGCCCTGCAAGCTAAGGTCAGAATGTTGGTGTCGACACTTGCTGTCTTGGGGTTGCATATCAACCCAGCTAAGTGTCGTGTCTTGCACGACTCTGACGGAACGTGCCCCGGGCTTTGGTTGCCTGGCAAGGCAACGCCTATCCAGGGAGAGCCGAGACTCCTCTTCTTGGGAGTTCCCTTAGGGCATGGGGTGAATGCTGCCACAATCATGATGCATTTGATGCGTAAAGCAAGCAACTCCTTTTTCGCATTTAAGAAAATACTTGATGGGGCTACTACGACGCTGTCCATCAAGTTCAAGCTTTTTGACACCTATATATCGTCTCGGTGGCTCTGGGCTGCGCCCACCATGTTTCCGGACATGCGAATGCTCAAGAGCATTGAAGGGAGTAAAAACACGTACTTACTCTCTCTCTCTCTCTCTCTCTCTCTCTCTCTCTCTGTCGAGTGGGTACAGATGTGTTGATGTCCTGGATAGACAATACAATCTCCCGTCGAAGGAGTGTGCGTCTCTTATGCTCCCGGGTGCAAGGTCCGGACTGGCGTCGTGCGTGGCTAAAGAGGGTTTGGAACTACCATGGCCATTTAGCTCGTTGCCCAGTTGAACACCCCATGAAGCAGATTGCGAGAATCTGTAGCTCCGGTAACCTTCGGCGGGGCCTGCGTGCCTCGTGGCTGACAGATTTGACAGTTCGTAAGATGCAGCGAGTTTTTCTGAAATTGCCAGGTATTGGTGCATGTCGTAGCTGGGAGGAAGCTGCACAAGATAGGCATCTCTGGGAGCAGTTGCTCCCGCAGTGGCTTGCTTATTGGATGCCCGCTGCTCAGGAACCCACAGCTAGCCTGGACTAACTATGTCAGCGACAATTAGTCGTTTTGCGAACCAAGCGAGTTGTTGAATGTATGTTTCTACGACCATCACGAGATGTGCTGGACACGCCTTATGTCGGGGCCTTGTGGGAAATTAATGAGGTGCCGCGTTCAGCCGCTAACCTTGTTTGGCTGCGGGTGGACTCTTCGGGCTGCTATGCGATTTTGCAACTCCCAAGAAGCACCACCAAACCGGTGCTAGGAGTGCAGGTGCGTCCCTCAGACACTTCTCCCTTGTCCGTGTCCTTGGCACTCCTCACCTTGGGAACCAAGTTGGCAATCCTGCTCCAGGCATATGGTTACCGCGATGTACACGTCGTGGCAACTCTGTCTCAGTACCAACGTGGGATATTCCAGGAGAATGTCTCATTGACTCACCTTGCAGAACTCACGGCACTGTTGAGGCTGTTTGATCAGCCGGACAGACCCACTCTGTGTCTGCCCCCTACTAAGGTCCCTCCTGCGAGTCAGAACCTGTTGGAGTCCTTCCATGCTGTTGCTATGCCCACTAAGTACCTGGTACGAACGGCCGACTTCTCTGATGCGCGCTTTGTCGATGACTTTCGTCAAGTGCATACGTCGCTGTGGCATATGCTGTGAGCTTTGTCTGTGTGGGGGCACTTCAGTCTCGGTGCGTCCGTCTCGGTGCGTCTCTGTCAGACAAGGAAAGAGGAGCGGTGGGGCCAGGTGATGAAGATGGAAAGGAAGGGAGGGCAGGTTACGGGGGTAGGGCGGGGAGAAAGAGGGGGGGAGGTGGGTAGGGGGGGGGAAGGTCGGTCAAGTACATCCCAATCTTCGCCCTCCTCAGGCCCAAGCCCTCGTCTATTATGGCAGACCCTGAACAGGTGATGGAAACACTCATGTGCCATGGATCTCTGTCTTTACGGCAGCTTTGTATCTATGTGGCAGCCTCTGTCTTAGCTCTCCCACCACAAGGGATGAACTTGGGACTATGCTGCAGGGTACGCTGTGCTCTACATTCAGCAACACAATCCGTTCCTTCGGTGGTCCGTCTATTCACGGCCATGATCAGACAGGTTTTTCCCGAGGACCCTTTCCTCACGACTGCCGCCTCCTCCGGGCGGTCCTCGGCCTGCAGCTTGGCAGACGG